CAGCGTGAAGCAGCAGCAGCAGCAGCAGCAGCTGACCTGTTTGGCGGTGTTACTTTGCAGGTGTTACTGCCTTCTTTTCTTGGGCACTGTTACATGCACCCATAGGTGCTCCTTGCACCTGTCACTTCTAATGCTCTGATGAATGTAATACTTGCTGGGCCTTTCTAAGAGAGCAGGATACTGCTTCCAGAGGTAGCTCTCATTTCCTGTGCCATCTTAGTACGGGAAGAAAATAACATCTTCAGAAATCTGCAGCCAGAGCAAAGAGAAATTTCCATTGATCCAGTGCAAGTCTCCATCTGTGTTAATTGACAGCAGCCCTTGGCATGGGCGAGTGAGTCCCCGGCAACTTCCAGCAGATTGAGTGCTGGAGTTCAAACAGCTTGTAACTGTCAGATTAAAAACACGATGGTTTTAAGAGAGTATGGGATGTATTAACTGTTACACTGTTTTTTGGAACAGGACTGACATCTGTTTGTTTTAAAACAATTATTCCAGTTAAGCACAGATCGATGGCTCTGTAGCAGAATTGGAGAGCGGTGACTTGATTTCATTAGAACCAAATGTCTAAGGCTTTTGGGACTCAATACAGAACAGTGTGGGGTCCTAGAGAAGTTGAATGAAAACTTTTTATAGTCATGTTTAAAACAGTGCTACTTCCAGTATTAGAAAGTGTCGTGTCAGTAGAGAGCCAATGAGAGCACAATCCCTACTTTCAAAGATGTTTTAGAGTTGCACTGCACAAAATCAAAGCATCGAGCATGTGCAATGAGCATGTACTTACTAATGTACTGCAAACTGAGCTGATGTTTTGAGAATACGCTTGGGTATGCACATAGCTCCTTCAGAATGCTGGCAGGTGGCAAGATCTCAATCCGTTTTGAGATGAGGCGTGATGCTGGCAAACCATGTGGGTGAATACTTTGCTATAGTCCCATCATTTCAATGCATGTTATACCATCCAGGAAAATAAGCACCTTTCCCCTCTTTCTGCTACCATAACCACAAGGTTGGGCCTAGTGGAACTTACAGTATACCTGAAAAGAATTACAGAGCAGCTAAAGGAAACCACATGTAGGAGGTCTCCTTCTGTTCTCTGGTGTCGTGTTGTTGTTGTATGACAGCTATAGAGGGTTGTCCTCCAAGCCTGCTGAGGGAGGAGCCCAGGGACTAACTGAGGGTGATCACAAAAGAGAGGTTCCTGGGCAGGTGTCCCTGTGGTGGTGCCAAAATATAGTAGTCACAGTCCCCTTCCAAGTGGGGATTTGGTGGGGGTAGAGAGGAAGATGAGAATTTTCTGAAAATCACCTTCAAGCGTATGTGAAAACACTGGGATTCTTCACTGGACTCTTTTTGTCTTTGCGTTCTTGATCAGCATGGGTAACCAGTTTCCGGGGTCAGTAGGCTCTGATTCCACAGCCAGCAGAAAGCTTCTGATGGGTGCTATTTTTTTTTTCATTTTATTGGGGGACCTATTCCTCTTTCAGAGAGTTGAGACTTCATATCTCTAAGGTGACATAAGAGATTTTTCATGTCTCTGTTAATTGACCTGCCTTGATTTTAATGACATATTCTTTTAAAATATGAGGCTGATGGAGACCCAGGCTGGCAAGTCTGTGTCCCACCCCTGGTCACCGACTGCATGCTGCTGTTTTGCAGAGGGGCTGAGCTGCATGAATAAGAATCACGGCTGTAGTCACCTCTGCAAGGAGGCCCCAAGGGGCAGCGTTGCCTGTGAATGCAGGCCTGGTTTTGAGCTGGCCAAGAACCAGAGAGATTGCATCTGTAAGTATATAGACTGGCGCACACCCTCGCTGGGGACCATCCTTCCCCACAGGTTGTCTTCTGCAGCCTGGCAGGAACACCACCTCATGGCACAGCAGGAGCATCAGGGAAGATGTCTGGCATGAGGTGCCGACCTCCACTAAGTACTCAGTTCACTGCACAAGGGTAGTCCCTCAGCAGACAAGGGAAATGGTATTTTTTAAAGGAACCAATCAGAAGGAAATGAAATTCAGGAGTAAAGGGTGTGAATGTTGAAAGCTAGGTCTTTCTGTTCCCACAGAATAAAATCAGATTTCCTCATCTGGCAGTCACAGCTCTTTGCTACCTGGTTCCTGCTTCTTTTATAAGCCTCACCCACCTCGTTTTCCCAGACGCCAAACTCTTCGCCTTTCAGAGAACAGCCCATATTCTTTCACACCTGCAAGCCTTTTCCAAGCCCTCCTCCCTTCCTGGCTTACTGAATTCTCTCACAACCTTTGATGTCCTGCACAACTTCTAATAGTGAGAAGGATAAACAGCTACCTTTTGGGAGCACTTCTTATGTGCAAAGTCTTGTCCAAAGATGTCCCATATCCCATTTAATTCTTACAGTCACCACCCTAGGAGCTAAGTATTATTATCTTTCTTCTTGGTTGAGAAAACTGGGGAGAAGGTCACATGGTGATAATTAGTATTCGTGTGGGTCTGCTTAACTGTAAGGCTTGTACTCTTAGTCATCATGCTATATATTGCCTCAGAATCCTCTCTGATGGCCTCAGACAGGGCAGCCACTTTGTATTTTGGCTCGCACAGCACTGTTTATTCTTCATTTGTAGTGTATGACATTCTGGGTTATATTTTGTTAGTTATGTGTCTGTCTCCCCAACTATAAGCCCCTCCTTATCAGGGACCTTGTCTTATTTTTGCCTCTCAGTCTTCTTCTGGTACCTATCACAGGATGCGCTCAATCTACATTTGTTTAATTAATGGATCAATGAATGGTGTACACAGTCCTGACACAGTTGCCACACAATGATGAAACACAATAACAGAACTCCAATGGATAATAGGAAACAACTGGCCCTTAAAGATGTTCCAAAACCATTATGGATACCAGAGGAAACACTGAAGTTTTCCTTTTAGGCACTCTTCCTAAAGCCAGGAACCTTCCCGAAGACCCCTGCGGTTTGCTAGGGATGGTCACTTACAGTTAGTAGACCTTAGTGGTTAAGAAATGAGGAGACGGTTTCACTGGGGAGAGATTCTTTCCGTTGTCTCCATTACAAAGCAGAGCACAGCCTCAAAGCCTGCCAAACCAGGGCTGGTGCCATCCTCAAAACAAGTTCTGACAGGCTCTTGGGGCCCCTAAAATGAGGCTGTCCCTGGGGGCTTCCAGTGGGCTGGGCAGAGTGAAGACCACTTACCTGACTCCAGGTATCTTCAAAAGGAGGACCCAGGTCCTCCAAACCTCACTTGTGGAGTGAGACTCTCAGCATTTCAGTTTTTCAGGGGCCAGTAGAAAGTTTATTTAATTTTTAAAATGTTTTTGAGAGGTCGCTACTCAAATAATATCATAATCACACTTGAGGGGAAAAAAAGAAAATAAAAGATCCAGAATTTGACCACATAACCAGCTGTTTCACTTTCTTCATATTCCTCTTTAGTTGTTGTTCATATGTATCGCACAATTTTTGCGTAACTATAGTCAACGGAACAGTTTCTTTCTCACATCACAAATATGCATTTCATTCTTTTGAATTAGAAAAATTACAAATGCCTATCTATGTTAGAGTTTAAACAGTCCAAAGTGGGTAAAGAACATATAACCTCCTCCCTCCCATTTCCTTTGACAGAGGTAACCACTGTTCGTTTTGAAGAATAAATAATTTTGTAGTTGGCTTTATATTTTGGCTTGGCATCAATGCATTCATACATAGCATTTGTAGTTATTGTTAGTGTTGCATTAATTGTGTGCAAAGAGTCTTCATTTCCTCTGATTACCTTTTCTTCTAAATAAACCAAATGGAATTTGATGAGAGAAATCCTAACACACATATACGGATTAAATATTGTCTGTTTGTTCCAGACATGAAGTGCTGTTGCATTTCCCAGAGTCCCAGGACAGCTGTATTAATATGCATACTTCTCCTGATGGAGAAACGCAGTAGTCTAGAATCTTGTGATATGATTTCCCTTAGTAGTGAAAAATCTACCCCTTACCCCCGACCTATCCATCTCCACCTTCCTGTATAATTTTACTAAGATCTGTCATTCAGCATTTTGACATTTCATATTGTAATTATCTGTTTACATAGAGACAGGGTCTGAGTCAGGGTTATCTCTTTCATACCCAGTGCCTAGCACATACTAGGTGCTCCAATACTTGCTGAATGAAAATCAGAACTCTTGTGGATCAAACACAGCCCTGGTTTTGGAAATCTCAGTGCTTTATGTATTGATTTATTTTCTTTTCAGTGACCTGTAACCATGGAAATGGTGGGTGCCAGCACTCCTGTGAGGACACAGCTGACGGCCCAGAGTGTAGCTGCCATCCACGGTACAAGATACACGCGGATGGGAGGAGCTGCCTCGGTAAGGGGTGACCCCCACACTGGGTGAGGGTCTGCCCCATCCTGCCCACCCCTAACCCGAACTATTAATGGTGTTTAACACCAGATGCAGGGAGTTTCCTGTGTGTTTGCCCCCAAAAGTTCCCATGCTGCTTTACATATGTCAGTGGAAGTGATCTAGGCCTGGGATGGTGGTCCCATCCTCCTCGAGTGAACTTGGAAAGCCCTTTCTTCTCTCCTGGATGAGGCTGCTCCTGAAGCTAGTGTTCTGGAGACTGGCACACCACATCCCAAAGGACTGGGTCAACACGAAGTTAAAGCTAACGTTTGTGATGACACAGTGGTCTTTATGGTCAGCAGGAGTCAGGCATATTTCTGGTGGTATGCCTGTCCTGTCTTTCATGGCATATCCTTGCCTGCTCCATTTTAGAGGTTCCCAGTCCCAAGATTCTCTTTGTCCTGGACTAAGGATACTGGAGTGAATCTGAAGCTTGCATTCCCTAGTGTCTCTTTGGTCAGTGCAATGTGCTTCAAAAACCTTTCCTATGTTTACCAAGGCTCTGCGGCCATTTAGCATGCTGTGTTTCCCACAGAGCCTCATTACAACTCATTTTTATTGAGTGAACAGTCACATATCTTACATTGTTCTCATGTCTGGGATTTCAGCAGAAGGGGTTGTGGAGGCGATGAATAATCTGACTCGTTTGGTCTCAGAACTGTGCTCTTTTCCATCTATTCTAGAGAGAGAGGACACTGCCCTGGAGGTGACAGAGAGCAATGCCACATCAGTGGCGGACGGGGACAAACGGGTGAAACGGCGGCTGCTTATGGGTAGGTGCCTTACCTACCCTCCCCTGGCCATTGTCATTGTCCATTTCCCTCACCAACTTACTACATCATACCTAAACCTGGGACCTCTGTGCCCTCAGACCAGCTGGACCAGGGTCAGCAGCTCCTGTCAAGCCAGGGTGTGTCTGTTCTTCACTCACTGCTGTTGCTTAGTCACCATCTGAGACCTTGGTATTGTGGGACGAGCATTGGCCCAACTGGCAGAATAACCGGGTTAGCATCCTAGTGCTGCCCCAACTAGCTGTGAGACCTGGACAAACTGCCCTGAGCCCCCGTCTCCTGGTCTTTCTTTAAAATGGATGTAATAAAACCTACCTCTTAGGGTGGTCAGGAAGCTCAGTCAAGATAATACACAAAAGTGCCCAGAGTTCAATGCCTGGGACTCATGGGTGGTCAGTGAATGTCAGTTCTCTTCCTTCTGAGTAACTATGACTGACCAGAGAGGCATTTTGGGTGGCCCCTAGCTTAGCATGGCAATTTGTCTGGTTTTTTTTGTTTGTTTTTTTTTTTTCGTCAGCTGAGTTTTCTCTTTCTGACTCAGCCCATGTTAATGGCAGAAAAGATGCATGGAGAAGAGTGGCACTTGGCTGGGGGACGTGGGAAGGTCTGCCAGCTGAGCTGAAGATGAGAGCAGAAGTAAGGGTGGTGGCTGCGGGGGTGGGACTCAGACAGATCCTCTGACATATTATTCTGGAGGAAGATTGGCTTGAGGTAAACAAAACCCATCTTTCGATAGGTACTGAATTTCATAGTCAGGTAGGATTTTGAGCAGATATTGGTTACCAGGCAGGTAATATTTCTGAGTTCTTTTCTGCCTTATTAAAATTATTTTTAATTGTCTTAAAATAATACATGTGAATAACATAAAAACTTAAAAAAATTAATTAGTACTATTAAGCTTGTATTGAAATACATCATTTCCTTGTCTCCTAAGTTCCCATTCCCTCATCCCATCCTCCAGAGGCAGTAATTTTTAATTCGCCTAGTTGTTTCATCTCCTGACTCTCTCTCCCTCATAGTTCTGCAACGTGAAGTGTATATAGTTATTTCTTTTTTGCAGTTTTATTGAGATATTCCAGTTATTTCCTGATTTGTCAATTTTAAATATTAGCTTTTGACTTTTACTACAGAACACAAATTTTAGCTCTCTTCTGCGCCTGCCCTTCCTCCTCACACACATTTTTCTCTCCCATACCCGTCACATGGTTTTATCACAATTTAAATCAATATTATGTATTTACATGAGTGTGACTATGAATATCTAACTATGATTCACCGAGGCATTTAATATGCTACGATTATATTTTCTTCGTTTGCTTAGTTTTCTATGTACTTCTTACCAGTTCTTTTGAACATTTCTGGCAGAGTTTTAAAACCTTCTTCAACGTGTTCAGACAGCAGTTAACTTATCAATTGCATTTTCTACTTAAAAAGTCTCTTCCGAGGCTTCCGCCTGCTCCCGTGGGGCCTGACCCTCCAGGCTGGCTGTCCACCCCAGCCCCGAGCTCCCTTCCCTACTCTCCTGTTTCGGTGGATCCCACGTCTTCTCTTTTGTTAGTTTACATGGGTAAATATAGATGTTTAAAAAAACTTTGCACACCTGAAAATAGCTCCATGTTATACTTTCACCCTTTATTGAGAATGTGGCTCAATGTGGAATTCAGAGTTGGAAAGAATATTCCATCAGACTTTTGAATAGCGCTCTGTTTCAAGCATTCAGTGTTGTTTTAGGAAGAGTAAAATCATTTTTATTCTTGATCGTTTATATGGAACCCAGGGAAGCTTCTCTCTGGATGTTTTTAGGGTCTTCTTCTTGTCCCTAGTGATCCGAAATTCCACAATAATGTCCCTTGCCATGGGACTCTTCCCACCTGTTATGCCGAGCACTCAGTTGGCCTTTCAATATGAACATTCAAGTCCTCTGGTTCTGAGGAATCTTCTTACATTTTTTCCTTGATAATTTTCTTCACTCCATTTTCTTCATTCTTTCTCTCTGCAACTCCTATTAGCTCACTGTTGTAACTCGGTATCGATCCTCTAATTTTCTTCTTTTTTCTCTTCTTTATATTTTTGTTCTACTTTCTAGGAGTTTTTTCTTTCTTTTTCTAATCCTTCTATAGGATCCTTTTAAAGTTTCTGCTTTCAAGAATTTTCAAAAATTTTACTTTGGTCTTTTGTTGAAGGAACCTGTCCTTATTTCATGGATGCTTTTCTTATCTCTCCGAGGAAATTAATTATAAGAATTTTTTAAACTTCTCTTTCGTTTCCTGTGTTATCTTTGTTTCCTCCAAGTTTCCTTTACTCTGTTCATTTGACTTGCTGTATTTATTTTAGATTAGAGGTTTTCTTGAAGTTTCTAGTGATTCTTGGCTGACTTTTTATATTTAATAGTGAAATATGAAAAAGCAATTTTGATATTCTGTCAGGCGGTGAGCTTTATGCTTGGGTGACTAGACAATGACTTAGCCATTTCATTTGGCGATCTTCAAATACCAATATCTATAGTTTTTTTCACTTGGGCAGGGCAATTTAGCTAGAGAGGAATCCTTCCATCTCCTGCGGAGGGGACAGAGGCTTGACTGCCAACTTCCTGGGAGCTGAGGGGACATAAGAATATTCTATCTCTCTTTTCAGGGTATAGACTTTCACTGGCAGTGCTGCCTTCTACCCCTCTGCTATTCCTGGTGCCCTTGAGTCCAGTGCTTTTCTGGTCCCACTTCTCCAGAGAATAAATTTCTCTGCTGCAGCTCAAACAGGGGAGGGATCCTCACCTGGCTGTGGAATTTAGGAGGAGATCTGATAGTTCATATGTTTGTTATACAGACTCTCTCAATTGATCTTCCTATTTTAAACTTCATCCTCACTTCTGCCTCTAGGGTAACTTAGTACCTCCAATTCCTGAGCCTTTGAGATTCTGTGGCTCACGTGAGCTTACCATTTATTAGTACCCCCTCTGCAGACCACTAGAGTTTAGAATTCTGCTTATGCCAGTTACTGCTCCTCCAACGACATGCTACTTCCAGAATATTTGACATCTTTCGTCTATTATCTTGTCCTTAAAGATTTGTACTTAAAAAAAAATCTTTATAGTCTCATTTTAGTGGGGTTTTGAGAAGAAACAGATAAACACACATGTTCTATCATATTTAATCAGAACTAAGCTTGTCTGTCCAGGCTCTACAATGAGGCAGCTGTGGAAGTAAAATCAGGTTTCTGGATGCCTAGATGCTCACAGTTGAATGAATGTTGAAGAACATTTGCCTATTACCTGGAATAATTGTATGAAATGCACAACTAGAGGCCATTTGTTTATTGTTCTTCATCTCTATAGATGCAATTTAACAACTGATTTTTCATATAGTTTTGACAGCTCTTTTTGGAAAGGTAAACTTCAAATCTGAGTTACTCGGCAGTTGCAAGAAAAGCCATTGGTCTGCAGCGAGGGAATGGTTGGGGTGGGCGATGTTTACTATCTCTTGTTTTGCCCATTACTCACATTGAAGGGAGAGGGTTCAGGATTAAAGAAGGAACACCCCCCTTTGCCTATTCTGCATTCACATCTAGCCTGCCAGGTGTATCATACTTAGCAGGTTACTGGCTGTGGATCAACAGGAAGTTTTAGTGGCTTCAGATCTGCCAGTGGAGGGGAAAGGCTCAGCATTCTGGGAGAGGCATCTTTACCCTCTGGTCACCCCGTCAAGCTTACTCGAGAGATGTCATTTATTTCGGTGAGTGGGAGGAGTTGCACCTGCTTTCTGTCTCATCTGCAGGTGGCAGAGACTTGGGGGTTAACCATGAATACCCCACCATCCTTTTTAACTTTTATGAACTTTATCAACTATTTATACTGCACCAATATCCCTTTCCTCCCACCTGTATCATCACTTCTTTAGGAAGCTAATTGCCTTTTTCTTACCTCCTTGTTAGAAACGTGTGCTGTCAACAATGGAGGCTGCGATCGCACCTGTAAGGATACTTCGACAGGTGTTCATTGCAGTTGTCCCGTTGGATTCACTCTCCAGTTGGATGGGAAGACCTGTAAAGGTAGCCTGTGCCTCTCCATGCTGCTAATGTGTGGAGATAAAGGCAGCTCTTCCCCTCCACACCCCTGAGTGATTCCATATTTGCTTATGATTCATATTGATGGAAGCTTTTCTTCCCTGGGCTAGTGGAAGGTTATAATTGAGTAAGCTTAATTAGAACCAACTTAATTACACTAACTGTTAAGAAGATCAGCTTCTACAAGTATCAGATAATCCATTTCAGGTAGTGGCCTTATTAGAAAAAGGCAGACGTTCAAGGGAACATTTGCAGGAGATAATATCAGCATATCATAAATAACAGCCTAGAGATTATTATGTAAATAACAGCCAAGGTTGTTATCCAGAGAACTTAATGAATAACTGTACCTTTAACTTTTACTGATGTGTGGAGATCCCAATGACGGGCTAGTATTTCATGGGCAAGAGTACAAAGGCTTACTTCTTTAATATGATAAAAAGTAGACAACCAGTAACCAGATGAAACTGAGAAAAGATGAAATTAATTTGAGTATCAGGAATCACTTAAAAGCATTAAGACTATTTGATCATTGTGTAATTTGCCAAAACAAACTTTCTGTTTCCTTATAACTTTAATCATTAAACTGGTACAGAAAGTATACCAAAGAGAGCCATCTTATCTTGAGAGAGAAGGGTAAGGATGAGAATATAATAGGACATCACCATTCTTTCCCATAGATTATTCCCTAATGCTAGTCAAGGGCAGTGTAAGAGTTCTCAAGGGGATGAGGCACTTGTCTTTCAAAACTGGTTAAGCCAGACAAGAAAACGTGTGTAAGGTTAAAAACATCAGCAAACATTCTTAAATGCTTCTATGGGTCTGTTTTTGTTTCAGAAAATAATGAAGCACACGCAATAGCTCTTCAGGGATTTGTGGAATAGGAGGCGAGTATTGCTGTCTGATTTGCCGATGCTTGCCTGTTACAGATATTGATGAGTGCCAGACCCGCAATGGAGGTTGTGATCATTTCTGCAAAAACACCGTGGGCAGTTTTGACTGCAGCTGCAAAAAGGGATTTAAATTATTAACAGATGAGAAGTCTTGCCAAGGTATGTGCTGAAACGTAGCTTTGCTGTGCGGTGCCTGCTGGTTGGAGCAGTGGAGACGAAACCCCACCCTGGCAGAGACTGGGTCACTGGGCTTCTCCACAGAGTCATTAATCCAGCCTCCAACCTGTTCTTCACTTATTTCATCTGTTAGATAGAATAAAAACACTGATGTAGCTCACAGGTATATTTTGAAAATTGAGCTGCGAATGACTAGAGAACACCTCGAAGAACCCATCTGGTGTGATTACAGCAGACATGGAAGAGATCACGGAATGCAAGCAGGGTTGTATTAGAGTGTTGAGATTGTGAATAATTTTCCTTTTCTAAATTTTTTTTTAATGTTAAGGATTTAATAACAAAATTTGGTGGCAAAAATTTGTAGATTTAGTTAACATACCTTTTCCTAGCAAAAAGTTGGGCTCAACCCATAATCAAGATCACGTACCAGTTGGTTTCATTGTTAGAGCCCTTGTTGGAAGGACCAGGCTTTGGTGCTTGGGCAAAGGGAGAGAGGGGATAGAGTGGAGCAGAGGATGGTCAGTCATTGGGCAGGACTGCGGACCCGTTCTCATATGCGCCCCTCCCACATAAGGGGTGTGGCAAGGAAGCTTCTCTGGGTAGCAGTGGTTGATACTAATAACTCTTTAGGGTAGTGGTAAACTGTTTTGGGTGGAGGACATCATTTATATTTTCAGATGAGCACCTTTTATGCCCTATCGATATACAGGAAGAAGCTCTCAAAATAGATGTGCTATCATTTATTCCTGTTCCATTTCTCAGAATAGCCTAATTTAATTTCATTAGAAATCCTAGAATTAAATCAAAATCAGAAAATAATAACTGATTTCATCAGACACTAAAGATAAACATTACCATTTTTAACCTTATGGTGTGAAATAGGTTTGTTTATCTCTCTCTTTTTTTTTTTCCTTAATATATATTTTGTCAGGAGTTCAAGTATAGCCCCCTTTAAATTCAACGAGTTCATTTTGTGTGATTATTGCATGGTTTTCTTCTATTTAACTTGGAAAGCAAGTTTGCTGTTCCACATAATGTTTCATAATGTATAGAGCAAGAAGTACTGTTTAAGCTGTGTAAACACATTAAAAAGAAATTAGAAAAGTGATCTCATTATTTTTGGCAAAGTGAAAGCCCGTCGCCATGAGCAGCCAAAGTCAGCTACTGGACGAGTTCACTCTCTCGACAACCGGCTGATGTTAATAACAGAATTCATAGAATGACATCAATTACTAGGGAAGAAACAGACTTTTTCTCATTTTTCACTGATCAGTCTTGATAGTACAAATATTTGCACAGAACAAATTTACTGAAGAAGTTGCCAGGATTTCTGGGAAAAGCTCGGGAAGAAGAGATTTTGCAAGAATTTGCCCTTTTAATTTCGTTTTTTTATTCTTCCAGTTCTTTCCAAATATTTGTTTTTATTAATGTAGTGTCTCGTGGTACATTTGGTATTGAAAAAGAGATCTAGCAACGGTCTAGTTGGCTTCCACTAAGCTCTGCCCTGGTCCTGGTTTATCTATTTGGAGATAGAAGTCGTAACTCTGTTAAAACTCTCCAAAGAGCTGAGGAATTGAAACACCGAAATTTTAGTCTACAGGAAAGATGTGAAGACTAGATCAGGAAAGAAAAGATGATTAGACCAACAAATGCAGCCTCCTGTGGCTAGTTTCCGTGACCTTCGCTGAAGCCAGGGATGCTTCCACACTGAACCAGGACAGGAGGGACCCTGTGGGACTGAACCATGGGGAGAGTTACAAAGCCAGAGGACTGGCCAAGAGGATCCAGTTTGGAGCTTAAATACAAAATTTCAGCATCTGCAATAGAAAGTTACTGAAGATGTTAGCGTTAATGCATTCTTTTAGTGCAGAGGGCATTAAAACCCAGGATCGATGGCCTTCTGGGGCCAGAAGACTCATTCTGGAAAGATCAGAAAGAGATAGGAACCAGATTTAGTTCTAATCCAAATGTTTTCTCCTTTCGATTTGCTGTCGCTTATAGAATTACTATCACTGTTTTACCAATAGTAACATAATAATAATCGTTTACAAATCCTTTTTAGGTATGTTATCTCATTTAGCTTCACTTAAATATTTTAAATTGCTCATTCCTGCAAATTAGCATGGGTGAGAGAGAACAACTGAGCTTTTAGGCAAGTACAATTTGCAACAATTTGAAAAGAAGGGTCATGGCAGTGAGTATACTTATTGTGGGCTGCTCAAAACTTTCTTTAACACAAATGAGTGGGAAAACTGATAGTTTTTTATTCTGTTTATGTTGTTTTTCTCATCACGGGTGTTATTATAAATGTGTTCATCTCATCACGGGTGTTATTATAAATCCCCTGGGTGGGGACTGGGGTCAGTCGGTGCCAAGTGCACGTCCTAAAGGCAGTCACCACGCTTCCCTAAGAGTTGGTTTCAAGTCCCCTCTCTCTTTACAATTACAGATGTGGATGAATGCTCTTTGGATAGGACCTGTGACCACAGCTGCATCAACCATCCTGGCACATTCACATGTGCTTGCAACAAAGGGTACACCCTCTATGGCTTTACCCATTGTGGAGGTGAGCAAAATGCCCCTCTGGACTCAGATGAAGCTGGGCCTGTAGGGGAGCAGGGCCTACCCCTAAGGTTTCCCCAGATCAGGGCCAATTTTCCTACACTGGCAGATGAACGGGACATTCAGTCCCTGTACAGTAGTGAGTCCATCAACTCAAGGGAAGCATCTGCGAAGGCAGGGAGGGGTCCCCAACCCCCGGGCCATGGACTAGTCGTTGGTCCGTGGCCTGTCAGGAACCGGGCCGCACAGCAGGAAGTGAGTGGTGGGTAAGCAAGCAAAGCTTCATCTGTATTTGCAGCCACTCCCCAGCGCTAGCATCGCCACCTCAGCTCCACCTCAGACCATCAGGCATTAGACTGTCATAGGAGCACCGGTCCCTGGTGCCAAAAAGGTTGGGGACCACTGTGCTAAGGAAAATCTCCTCCCATTTATCCCTTTAACACATCGAGTGTGAAATGAAGCAGAGAGAAGAGCTGAGCTCTTCAGCTGTGAATTCTTTGTTGATATTATTGATGCAGTTATATTCAGAGAATGGGAAGACCTCTCAGGAGCTGATACCCTATCCATTGGAACTTTCCGGAAGATAGTAACGTAACAGTCCTCAGAGAGGCTTGGCAGGGCACCAACAGTCTTCATCTTTGCTTCATCATCAACAGGAATGGGTTGTGAGCTTTGTTTGAGCCCTTTGAGCTGTTTTTTGAGCTAGGGGTGGGACCACTGACTTTATCTCTCTGCTCTGTGCCCATGTAGCATCATGTTCTGATGTCATTTGCCCTTATGGTCATGTATACTATGGCAAAAATCAGATTTGGCACCAAATGACTCCCACTTCACTCCCCCAATCATCAAGTCCATTCAGCAATCATTGAAAATAGAGATTCAGATTCTGATTCAGAATGTCTGGGGTTGTTAAGGTGATTCTGAGGATCTGAGGATTTAGGAACCACTGGCCTAAATACTTTCGGCCCAATCCTTGTCTCCTGTGCTTAAGAAGAATGGATAGTAGTGATTTGCCATAGCTAGTGCTGTCTCTTCTCTTTTTCAACACATTCTTGGCATGGCTAAAAGCATATTTTTCCAGTACATCAAGAAACTCCAAGAGAATATTCCTTGAATACAGATGTGTATCTGGGTTTTAGCTGGAGCCACCTTTGACTTCTCGGGCTGATGGGGATCAGTGCAAGTCATTTTCATTCTCTATGCTTCAAGTATGTGAACTGTCAAGTGGGGAACTCTCATTCTGTCTTCCTTGGTATGTAGCCCAGGAGAATGGTGGAGTTTTAAATTGGAAGCCTGTGCAGCATGAGTTCGGACATCTGAAAGAAGAGTGTAACCCCTTCTGAGTGTCTCTAATGGAGGAATGGTGTGGTCAGGAATGGAACTTGACAGCATCCTAGTGAGGCTCATGTCAGGAAATCCCCTGGGTGGGGACTGGGGTCAGTCGGTGCCAAGTGCACGTCCTCAAGGCAGTCAGCACCTTCCCTTTGTTTAGCGAGTATCTCCCATTCTGGTCCATCTTCAAGAGAAGGATGGTGTCAGCTGGGTCAGTAATGGGCTGCCATGACAGGAGCGTGCTTTGTTCCACAGACACCAACGAGTGCAGTGTCAACAACGGAGGCTGTCAGCAGATCTGTGTGAACACGGTGGGCAGCTACAAGTGCCAGTGCCACTCTGCATACAAGCTCCACTGGAATAAAAAAGACTGTGTGGGTAAGGGGCTCCGAGGCTGAGAGTCAGTCACCGGGCTCACCACTGGCCAGCAGCACTCTCCCACGTCTGATTGGCCCCGTAGTGCAGCTGATCGTCCCTCCCCTCAGCTGCAACAGCCGTTCTTTAAATAGTTCAAAAACAGGAGATACTTTTCAGGCTCTTTGGTGTTTCCTTCTGTGCTTCTGCGTAGGTTGGAACTCACTCCTATTTTCCTGGTTGCTTTTCTGCATGAAAAAAAAAATAGCATACAAGTAGCTCCTTTACCTCGGTGGGAAAGGTAAAGCCCGGTTTCTTGTGTTCTGCGCTGGGTGTCAGCTCTACCTTTTCTTGGGGCCTTTGCTGCATGAAACTCAGCCGTCTTTGTCACACCTGGAAGTGTCCTTCTCTTTCTGTGTCTAGAAGTGAAAGGGGTCCTGCCCACTAGTGTATCACCCCACGTGTCCCTGCATTGCGGTAAGAGTGGCGGAGGAGACAGGTGCTTCCTCAGATGCCACTCTGGCATTCACCTCTCTTCAGGTGAGTGGGTCCCAGCCCCTGGGGCAGGTCTTCAAGCCAGGGCCGGGCCTACCTGGCCTTTAGAAGTTAAATACCCTCAAAAGGCTTCCAAATCTTTGATCAGCTGCTCCTGACCACCAGAGGCCAATATTTGAGACCCCTGGGCATTTTTCTAGTGGTCCGTGTGGAGTGGGGGTGGGAGGTGATTTTAGCTGCTACCAAGAGAGACTGTAATCTTGCTTACATGTTGACAATACACATTCTGTCTGTCAGGACTGCAAGATGCCTACTCTGTCACCTGCGGCTCTCCCTCTCCTCTCAGGAACAAACATCAAAAATCAAATGACTCTGCTTTTGGGGGTAATTACAAAATCTGTGTGTTCTCTCTGGGGCTTACTGTGTTCAATGGGCTTCATTCTTGGAGTGATGTTCTTGGCTTTGGCTTTGTTTTCTTTTCTCTGTATCTCCTTGATGCCGTGAGCACACTACAGGATGTTCTTGCCTACAGCTTTGATGCCTGAAATCTGACTTGCCATATAACAGACACTTACTTGAGTGTCCACTCTGTGTTAGGAGGCTTTGTGTTCAGCCTTGGGGAATCACCATTTTGGGCAGAGGCTTATAGAGCTCTGGGACCAGGAGACTCAGGTCTCCCAAACTCCCTGTACCCTAGAGCACCTCAAAGGCCTGGCAGGAAATGTGTGCCTGGGGCACATGGTGTTGGTAGAAGTAGACATGGGTATGACCGGGGAGCAAGAATTCTGTTCAGAGAAAGGACCCTGAACCTGCTTTGTCAAAATACAAAGAATGAAATTTAAAGCTTTTAAGAAGCCTCATTTTCCCACATTTAGACATCTCTGTGATTACATCATGAGAACATCTGAATGAGGAAATGATCCTTGATGTCCATATTATATATATGAGCAAAGCTAGAGACCCAAAGCAGGATAATAACAGTCTGCGTATATTGATCGCATAGTTAAAATATGCCAGTCACTGCATTACCTGTGTTATCTGATTTAAACCATATGACAACCTGTTGGGGAAATTTTACTATTATGCTCATTAACCAGATGAAGAACCTGAGATTCAGAGAGGTGAAATAACGTACCCGAAGCGACTCAGATAAAAAATAGTGGAGCCAGGATTTTAACCAGGCAGTTAGATCCAGAGTCTTAAGCATTATCCTTCACTGCCCCTCTTGCCTGATGTTCGGGCACAGCTAGAGCAAGCATCATGGTCTGTCTCACCAAATTTGTCAGTGACAGTCACTTGGAGATTTAGGGCACCACAAGGATGGACAAGCATGTAGGTAACAGTTATTCAGTTCTTACTCTATACCAGACAATAGGCTAAACATTTTTTTTTTTTTTTTGCATTATCTCATTTAGTCCTTACAACAACCTGGTAATATAGGTCCCATAATTATGTCTATTTCCATAGAGGAAGAAACTGAGAATTAGGGAGATTAAGTAACTTGCTCAAGTTCTCATTACAAGTTGAAGTGCTAGAGTTTGAATCCTGGTCATTGATTCTAAGGCCTAACATGTAGCTAAAACTGACCGTGGGAGGCAAGCAGAATTTTGCACATGAGGCCCTCGGAGTGAGACCCTTGCTCCGTCCCATCCCCTGAAAAATCCTAGCCATATTTAGTGAGTGCCATCCTTGTCTGAAATGGTGGCTTCCTCAGCCCTGTCCTTCTAGGGCAGGCTTATTTAAGAGAATCTGCCCTTCCCCATTTTCCTCAGCAGTCTTGTCCAAATCTGAACCAGAGGATTCTGGTCTTCTTTCTCGGGAAGGCACAGAAATGACTTCAGATTTCATCTCACCATTAAGGTCGGTTTTGGTCCTCTCTTTGTTATATTTGAGCACTGGATTCATCTCAGGTGGGATAAGTGTAGCTCTTAGGAGGCTCGTAGTGATCCCAGTCCCAGGGTGATGGGTACTCCATGATCTAAACCTTTCTTGGTCTCAGGGTAAGAGAGGGGCTCAGGTTGTACAGTGTGCAGTGGGACCCAGCCAATGGATAGCTTGCCATTACCTATCTGGTGTTTCCATTCCTTTGCCTCTGAAGGTAACATCTCTCACTTGTTTCTTTCTGAAGATGTCGCCACCGTCAGGACAAGTGTAACCTTTAAGCTAAATGAAGGCAAGTGTAGTTTGAAAAAGGCTGAGCTGTTTCCTGAGGGTCTGCGACCAGTATTACCAGGTATGGAATCAGATGGCTGGTGCAGGGAACTTGCCTGCATGTTGGGAAAGGGGCCCATAACAAGCTCGAGCCCTTCAGATGGCACGGACCAATTCAGAATCTTCGAGGCCTCTCTTCACGGGAGGAAGAGGAGCCCAGTTTAGCACCACTGTACAGTCCTGGCGTTATCCTTCAGAGCTTCCTTTGCGAGGTATAGATGGTGAAGCTCTGAGGAAACCTGTGAATTTACAGAAGTCAGTATGGGCTTTCAGTGCTAGATCTTCCAGTTTGCTTGAAATATAAGCCAAAGAAATGAACAAATATTTGGCTCAGAAAGGATAATCTTTGATGAACAAAGATATAATATCCAGCTTTCCTGCTTGATCTAGTTTTTGGAGGCTGCAGAAGGACATATACCATCCAAGTAGAACTAGCTTAATTGAAAAGAGCAGAACCCAATACGTGTCCTTCTTCCCTAGCTCACATTTCCAGTATTATTTCATAAAATAATTTTGGAGATTAGAAAAAAATCAGGATTCACGTATTAAGGAGGCTTCTTTTCCCAATCAATTCTCAAATAAATCGTACAAACAAATATTTACTGTAATCACTTTGGACTGCCTGTTTTATGTAACTAACCAAGATTAATTTTGGTACCTCCATTTGATGGAATATTATGTAGCTATTAATTATATGTTTCAAAGAATGTTTAATGACAAGAAAATGTTCTTGTTATAAAGTTAAGATGGAAAAAGGGACAGTAACGTTTTGTATATCTAATACAACCCAAATTATGTAAGAAAAAGTGTCGGCGGAAGAAAAAAGAAGGAAAACTCACCATATCATTTGTATGGTTATATCTGGGTGGGAGGATCATGGGTGGTTTTAATTTTTTTTCCCTGAATTTTCCAAATTCTTCACCGTGACTATTTATACTTTTAGATCAGAAGGGGGGAAAAAAGCAGTATTTAAAAATAGACTTAGTCTTTAGTTTACTTAGTGTTATTGCACTAATGTTAATTTCTTAGTTTTGATAAATGTATGTGTTAATGTAAGATGTCAGTTAACATTAAGGGAAACTTGGTGAAGAGTGTATGGGAACTCTCAATACTATCTTAGCAATTTTCCTGTAAATCTAAAGTTATTTCAAAATAAAAAGTTTAAAAACTAGATATGTAAAAATTGAAAAGGAAAAACGGTTTAAAGTGAGTACCTGTTTAGTAGAAGATTTGAAGTTAGCCTCTTGAAAAGTTAAGATAGATCTTGGGGAAAACATGTAGAGGAGAAATTTAATTTGCTTCTCTCTTCCTTTGGCTTCTGATGAACTGTTTCTTTGAACATTCTTGTATATTAAAGAATAAGATACAGATGATACATTAGTTTAATAAAGTGAGATTTTTAAATTGAGCTAAATTAATCGTGTGGATGATATGTGGACCTGCTCTTTGGTTTAGGTGAATAATCCTTAGTTAAAAGGTTCACTGGAAGCCATGGAGGAGGGATGACAGGCAAAGTGAGGCACAGAGATGTGCAAAGCCTCGCCTTACGCAACACTTTCATTCCGATCCTAGATGCCTTCATGATATCGTTTGGTTCTGTTGATTCTTTGTGCCATATATTGCGCCTGGTTATTTTAAAATGAGACATCACTGTTGATGTGCTTTCCAGCTTTCCCTTTGGGTTGGAATTACTTCAAGGTCTGTTTGCCTGAAAGCAGGAGCTGGTTTCCTGTCTACTCCTGTGTTCATTCCTTATTTGAAGCCTCAGACTCTGCTTGGTACATCACAGTCCGGCTTTAAGGAAACCAACTGTGAGAACACGAGTGCACTTTAGCAAACCATCAGTCGGGAATGCAGGATGACCCTGGTTCCTGTCAGCCACAGATGTGGCTGGTCAGTCGTAAACATCCAGCATTTATCCATGAAAATAATTTCTAAGAGCTAAGTTGTTAAGTTATATAGGAGGTAATGCTGGCTCTTCAAAATTAAAATGTTATCATGCGCCAAGCTGAGGGCTTTCAATGTCTTGGCATCTGGAGTTAATCATTTAGTCCCTCAAGAGTTGTTTTAATGAAATGTTTACTGAGCTCTAGCGAATGTTCAACTCAGTGCTTTGCCAGAATTTGGCTTCCGATAATTTTGTTTCTTCATACAGAAAAGCACAGCTCAGTAAAAGAGAGCTTCCGCTACGTAAACCTTACATGCAGCTCCAGCAAGCAAGTCCCCGGAGCCCCTGGCCGACCAAGCACCACTAAGGAAATGTTTATCACTGTTGAGTTTGAACTTGAAACTAACCAAAAGGAGGTGACAGGTTGGTCTGAAAACAGTTTATGGTGCCAGGCTTCTCACAGCTTGCTCCTTATTCCTTTGCCTTTCACCTTTTATCATTCTTCGGGGGGGAGGGGGAGTAGTGCAATCACTGAAGTATCTCCTGTTTTTTATCACCCCCAAACTAAACTGAATTGGTTTGGAACCTGATGATTTTATCTGCTTCGTGAAAACCCAAAGCTACCATTTTGGTCAACAAATTTCTGTTGGTATCAAATGCTACCCAGCTCCAGGTCTCTCCCCATTTTGTCCACAGGGAACTGTGGGTGTTGGCGAATGCTGCAGTCGGTCTGGACATCTTCGCCTGCCACAGCCTGATGTCCTCCCCCACTGCTGTCCCCTCTATTTCCGTAGCTTCTTGCGACCTGAGCTGCACTGTAAAGCGAACAGAGAAGCGACTCCGGAAAGCCACCCGCACGCTCCGGAAGGCTGCCCACAGGGAGCAGTTTCACCTCCAGCTCTCAGGCATGGACCTCGAAGTGGCCAAAAAGTCTTTGAGAACATCCGAACGCCAGGCAGAGTCCTGCGGAGTGGGCCAGGGCCATGTGGGAAACCAGTGTGGTGAGTGGCCTGTTGGCTAGGACATTCTGGCTAACAACTGTCTTGAGCTCTATAAACACTAAGGGTAACCAAAGTCTGGCTCATCCTTCCCTCTCTGGGCTCACTCTGGAGAACACCCTGGACACCCGCTCATTTGGGAAGTACACGGTGGTGTCTGTCGTGTCTACTGGACCAGGAGCTCTCGAGCACCTGGCATAGTGCCTGGCTTGTGGTGGGCACTTAATAACTGTTTGCCGAATTGAGGGGCAGAAAGGAAGAGGCAGGTTGATGAGAAGAGGGCGTTTTGCCCTCTAAAGGTCTGAGGGACGGCAGTCTTCAGATGACTGTGGTCTCCCAGCTAGGGCAGGACTGCAGGGATAAGGCACATGCCACTGCCATTGTTCTCCTCTCATCTCTCTGTGGCTTGTTTGAAGGTAGCAATGAACACTATCCTGGTCATAGTTTAGTGCAGAGGCAAGGCTGGGAGGCTGCTCAGCTGCCTTATGAGATCCTTGAGCTTCACCTCAGGGCTGCTAGCAGTGTCAGTTTCATGTGTGTTAGAGTGTGTATGTGTGTGTTGGTGGTGGTGGTGGTGGTGTGTGGCAGAATTAATTTGAGACCTGGCATTTGAGCAACATCAATTCTATTCCTTTGATGAAGTTCTAGGCAAGAGAAACCTGGGCAAGAGGTTCTAGGGTGATCAGTCTTGAGATTTGTGTGTTGTGAGAGACTGTTCTGGGCAATTTTGGGAGATACTATCCGAAAAGTCTTAGATGGACAAAATTGTGAGTCTCATTTTATAGTAATAATGGTAATGAATTATTGAATTATTGAGTTCCCAGCTGTCACAGGTACAGCACTGTATCTAAGCACCGTATCTGCATTATCTCATTTAATCCTAAAAGTAATCTTACTAGGTAGGTATTATCATCTCCATTTAACAGAAGAACAAATGAGCTTGGAGGGCTAAGTTCTCTTGCTCAAGATCACATTGATGGTCCAACTCTAAAACCTGTGCTCTGGTCCCAAATAGGGTGAATTTCAATAACCAGACCACTCCAGAACAAACCTACGTCCTTTCTGAAGTGTCATTCGAATCGCAGGTCCTGAGAAATGAAGCTTGAGCCAAGGAGTAATAGATCAGTGTTTTTGAAGAAGCAAAGCTGGGTACTCATTTGGGAGATTTGTCAGCAATAGCCCCACAGCCCAAATCTGTTGCTTTGCCAAAACATAGTTTAAAATCAAGTGTAGAATCAAGTATAACTATCCACCAAGGTCTGGTTCTCAAATAGTCTTGACTTTTTTTCCAGCTGACACTTTTATGGGGGGGCGGGAACGTAAAAACAACGCAAATAGTTGGTTTGTTCTCATTTAAAATTCTAAGAATTCCAGCTTCCATCCCTAAACGGTGATGAGAGTCGGCTGTTGCTGCCCTACTTTCCAGGGTGAGTTGTAGAAACTCTCGGGGATAGACAGGCCAGTCCTCCTCATGGCCCCATTTGCTACCTGTTAGAGGGAGGCTTGGTAGGCTCTTCAGGGAGCCTTTGTGGCCACTTAAGAATTCAGGGAAAACTGGTGTCAACGGCCCTGTAGACCAACTCCTGGTGAGAGTATTACCAATACTACCATGCTTTTACCAATACTAGTATGCTTTTGGGAAATAAAAACCCAAGAATGAGGGTCAAGAGTTACTTAACAGAGGCCTCATGACCATGATAACTTATTTAAAAAACTCGGTGTGGGATTTATGTAGCTGCTGTTGTGTGTGAATGTAGCCGGAGTGAGATGCTTGTCATGCTAAGTTAGGTCGGATTTGTTGCTGAGGGAGGCAATGTGTGTTGTCTCAAGAGCGCCCTCTAGCAATGGAAGGATTTTGTAGCCTGCTAGGGACCGAAGCAGGTTCACCCTGACTGACAGCAGTGTTCAAGATTTTACCACGTAGAGGAAACAGCACAAAGAATTACCAGTGAAATCCCTTCCTCCTGCTGGAGGGAGGAAATGGGTGAAAAGAAGAGCCGAGTATTTTAATTAGAATGGCTTTTTACTGAGTGGACACATGGCATGGGCTAGCCACAGTGTGTGCAGGGTGAAGGAGAGGGATGGTGTCTGTCTGTCTGTCTGTCTTTCTTACATTCTTCGTCTATTTGATGATGTCAGAACTTTATAAAGACCAGGTTTACTTGTATTTTCTGAACTCTGTATGGTACATACCGTAGAGGTAAACCTAAAATAGTTCTTTTGGGAAATTATTTTCAGTGTCTGCAGGAAAGAGCCAAAAAAAAAGTATTTTGGGTCACCTGCAAGGGGAGATGGAACTATTATGTTTTTCCTTTAAAATATGTTTATTTAGTTTTTAATAACCGAAATAGTACATATTTCAAATGGTACAGAATATATACAGTAAAGGTGAAAGTTCTCCCCACAGCTCCCAGTCCCCCTCCCCAGAAGCAATCATGTCAAGAGTTTTTCAGTCTCCATTTATGCACATATAAAAATGAAATTTTATTTATTCATTCACTGAATACTTATTGAACACCCACTGTGTTCAGTGTGTGGTACCCCAATAGCGCCAGGTACTGTTCTAGGTGCTGGGAATCCAGGAATAAAACAAAAGAGCAAAAATCTCAGCTCTCACAGAGTTTATGATGCTAGAGAAGGAAAACAGGCCACAATCCAATAAACAAGGAAATATACTTTGTAGCAGATAGCGGTAAAGGTATAAGAACAGGTAAGCAGGGGTGGAAAGTAGAATAGAAAGTGCCAGAATAAAGGGGAGGGGTGAAGAGGAGAATACTCCCCAAAATGTAGACTATGGTCAGGGACTGTGTTCTTGCAAAGTATCATTTGGGCAGAGATATGAAGGACAGAGGAAGAAGCCACGTCAGGGAGGAGACCCAGGCAGAGGCATCAGCAAGTGCAAAACCCCTGAGGCACTGGAAAGAAGGCCAGGCCTTTGTGAGCTGAGGAAGGGAGGGAAAAGGTGGAAGTCAGGGCAGTTGCCAGATCATGTTGGGAATGCGAATGGTGGTGAGGGTGCTGACTCTGAATGTGAGAAATGAAGATTTTGTGCAGAGGCGTAACAGGGTTCTGACTTATGTTTTAAAAGGACAAGTTTGGCTGCTGTGTTGAAAATAAATTATAGGTTTATGTATGAAAAAAACATTTAAAAATATATCAGTGTAATTAGAATAGTGCTATGTGTTATTTTTAACTATAGAGTAGATCAGACATCTTTCCATGCTCATAGAGGAGCTACCTTATTTCTTTTAAAGCTTCCCAGTCTATTTTAAGACATCAGTGTTTATTAACCATATTAAATATCCACCTATAGCTATCGTATTGGTGGACATTTAAGTTATCTGTAATTTTTCTATTACAAACCATGCTGCAGTGAATATTCTTCTTTGTGCACATGGCCAATATTTTTGAAGATTATAGACTTGTAGACATCCGATTGCCAGGTCAAAGGATACATGTATCTAAAACTTTGATATTGCCAAATTACCCTCCAAAAAGACCATACTAATATATACTTTTTCTAACTTGTTTTTCTTTGATTATCAGTAAGACAGAGCATGCTGTCATATGTTTGTGGCCATTTGAATTTCTTCTGAGAATATCCATATTGTTTGCCTATATTTTCATTGACTTGTTTGTTTTTCCAATTTCATTTAAAAAATACATTTTAAAGTCCCAAGTTACATCAAAGAACAGTCACTTCTGACCAGTTAAATACTTTCTTTCTTATAGTCATTTTTACATAGTGAAGTCTCATTAATTTGGCATTTCAGGATTTTGGGGACAGCCTGCTCTGCAGGTGACCTTTGTACCATCTGTGATCAATTTTAGCAAGATGGCAAAAAAAAAAAAAAAAAAGATAGCAATTATGTTCTCCAAGGAACAACTTCCTAAAGCTTCATAGTAATTCGTAAAGCCCTTCATAGCTAAAGAAAAATTAATGATGACATGTATTTCTAACTATTTTTCTTCCATAGCTATTTATCCTTTCAAAAAGGATAAATTATTTAAGAAATATACTGCTAATATACATTTTTTTTTTTTTTGTATTTGATTATTCTTAAAACTTGCGAGATTTTTAAAAGACGCAATCCAGGCAATAGGCGAACTGGGAAGTATTTTAGTGCCTGAGTTCTTGAGAGACTAGGAAAGTTTAATTCAGCTTTTAACAGCCGTAGCTTTCCTCTGCAGCAGTTGAGAAAAATTAATTCAACCAGTATTTATCAAGATACCGCTCAGTGCCACTCTATGAACTTGGAATGAAGCAGTGAGAATATAGTGCAATGTCAGTAATCCCCCATGTATATCTTGCTCATTTTCATTCCCCAAGACTCTTCCTCTGCTTGAATACTCTTCCCCATTTATATGTTATGTGTGCATTCTTCAAAGCTCAGCTTAGTCTCTCTTGGGGGAAGCTGAGCTTTGAAGAAGAGCTTTGAGGGGCCTTCTCTTATGAAGTTCACATTCTAACAGAGGGAGATGAGCAATAAAAAAGTAAAGAGGAAAGGATAATTTCAGAAGTTACTAGTGCTATGAAGATGATAAAATAGAATCAGAGGGGAGGAAGGTTAGTCTCCACAGGGTATTCAGGGAAGGCTCTCAGAATAGGTGACATCTGAGCTAAGACCTAAGTGGGAAGAAGGATCATGCCCTTTTAACAAATAAAGAAACTAAGGCAGAGGGAGGTAAGCCATTTACCCAATGTCACCCAATGAGTAAGTGGCAGAGCCAGGATTCAAATCCAGATCTGATTCAAGAGCCTCTGTTCTCAACTCTCTCAGTTTGAAAACTGTCAGCCATCCTGGGTACAGCCTGCGCCCTGTAATGATCTTCATACTGCACTCATATGGCGAACCTTCCATAGGCCAGCTCTGTGCTAGGTGTGGAGGGGGCCTGCAGAAATATGACACCATCCCACAAGTCACACTTAGCCCTCCCAGGGAAGAGTCGGAAAGCCTTCCCCAAAGATAGAAAGCCTAAGCTGAGTTTTGAAGAATGCACAG